AGGGATAGAGATGATGACAACTAACAGGATGTCCCATTCAATAAACACATTGTCAATACACTAAAGGAATGGTTTCCACTTACCCTTTGAAGGGTTATCTGCTTTGGCAATGAGAAGCTGCCTAGTCTTTCCAAGTGAAGCAGCCCTCTTTAGAGTTTCCAAAAAGGATGATGTGGACAGACATGACTGCATGAATACTGCTTTGTTCGAGCAGCTAAGGATAAAAATTATACCTAACAGGTTGTCACATGAGGCTAATACGCTTTAAAGGAATGCTTTCACTCACACCTGTGAAAGGGTTATCTGTTCTATCAATGAGCAGTCTCCTATCCTTCCAGGTAAACAATCCTCCTCAGAATCTTCCAAAAGAAGATTCAGGTGAGCATGACTGTGCGAGCACGGTTTGTTCAAGCAATCAGGGATAAAGAAGTTGACCCCTAACAATTTATCACATTCATTGACCATGTGATCAATACATTCTAAAGGAGTTGCTTCCACTCACCTTGTGAAGGGGTCATATATTCTGCCAATCAGCAGTCTCAGAACCTTCTCAGTCAAATCAACCCTTGTCAGATTCATCCAAAGAACATGTGGACAAACATGACTGTATGATTCTTGCTTTGTTTAAGTAGACAGTGATTAAGATGAGGGTGACCAAGTTGTCACAATTAATCATGTGGTCAAGCCACTCTAAAGGAATTGCTGAATTCACCTTCTGCAAGGGCCACCTATTCTGGCAATGTCCAGTTTTCCTTCTAGGGCCATTATAACTGGTCTTAGAGCCTTCTCAAGCCAATCAATCCTCATCAGTCCCTTCTGAGCAAGAATATGAATGATGATGACCTTTGTCCAGGTTGTTGATTCCTCCTTTTGTAAGGTTGATGAAATTCCTTTAAATAGAAGCAAAGCTGTGGAAGTATTTCAAGTGCCTCCAGAGGACGGCTTGACAATTAACTTATGGTGACTGAATCAAGTGCCAGTTCTACAAGGTGAAGTCTGAATTAATAGTGGTCAGTTTGACTTGCTGCCTCAAGATAAACATCTGTTGAGTTAAAGGAGACTGGAGTTCAAGAGTCCATTTCCACGCTCACTCCAGAGAGGGTAGCTTTTGCATTTCTGGATGGGAGTCCAAGAAAAAGACAGTACATAATCCAAGAAGTCAGCATAGAGCTTTCATGTCAGGATGATTTCTGGTAGTTTGGGAATTGTGCCAACCATACATGTCTTATGGGCACTTGGTGGTCCCTCCTTGGACATAGATAGAGCTTTGGTGATGTACACATAGTCACTCTCAAGGCAGGCATTTCAGGTAATTTGGGAGATCTTTCATCCTTCACATCTCAAATCCAGAAGGTCAGGTAGACTCAGTTGAACTCTCACCCCCCATCAAGTTGGGTTTCTGGACTGGTAGCAGTCAGAGGGCCGACGTCAGAAGATATGGTTTATGCCCTGTATGGAAGCGAGCCAAAACGTATAGTTAGAAAAGCAGAATCTTCTGTGATGATGTCATTCCACTGATGACCTAGTGGCTGGTGGTGCAGTAAGACACCAGCAAAGTTAAGAGTTAAGAACTGAATTTCAGGCTCTCCTAGCCTTCAGTAACCTCATCCAATGAGGACCTGCCCTGGTGAAGTTAGACAGCACAACTGTGGCTGGAATAAAGGAGGCATTTAGTATCTCCGTCCTGAAGGAGGTTTCTCTGATACTAGAGTTGGCCCAAGTCAATATCCTGCAGCTATCTGCTGCCTATATCCCAGTCGGGGGAATCTTTAGGCAAACAATTTGTCCAGGACAATCCTGGATGACAATGAATAGCCCAGACTGATGCAAGTCTTTCGAGAACTAACAAGCTTTGTAATCACTTTCAGAGGTAGATCTGTTCCATCCTCAGTCAACATAAACTTGCTTTCTATTTAAGGGTCCAGCATCCACAAGCAATGGGGGTGGAGGTGCTGATAGCAGAGAGGAATCTCCACGACAGTTTATGCCTTTCCCTCTCTGATTCTCCGCTTCCTGCTGAGGTTGTGGCAGGGGAAGGTGATAGTTCTGGTGGTGATCCCAGATTGGTAAAGGGGCCTTGGTACTCTCTGCCCCTCCTAATGAGTGCCAAGGATCCACTCTGGTGGTGATCCCAGATTGGTTGAAGGGGCCTTGGTACCCTCTGTCCCTAATGAGTGCCAAGGATCCAATCCCTCTGCTGGTAAGATCAGATTCTCCAAAGTCACATTGTGGTACCTCTCGTTGAAAACTGGATCCAAGCCACTGACTCCACCTCCCCTGCGGCACTCTCCTATGGAGGTCTCGTCCCATTCACCCAGACTGGGCGGTCGTAGAGGTGGTGGGGTCGGCGGCATGCTCTTGTCACCGCTGAGCAACTTCCAGGTCCTCCCAAACCCCCCCTCTCTATCCTTCTCCTCCTTCGAGGCCCACTGCATCCAACTCTTCTCCCCCACTCCTCTGAGGATTGCAGTAATCTATCAGCCTCCTGGACCCGTATCCCGCTTCCTTGACGACTTTTCCACCTGGCTACCCTTCTTCCTCTCCTCTGAGCTCCCCACCATCATCCTTGGTGACTTCAATATCCCTCTCAATGTCAACAACCCGGCTACATACAAACTCCTCCACTTAACCTCTTCGTTTGCACTCACATAGTGCACACAGTCCTCCACTCACACCAACGGGAACACCCTGGACCTCGTTTTCTCCCATCTCTTCACCCCTCACAGCCTCACTAACACCCTTTCCCTCTCTCTGACCACAACCTCATTACCTTCTCCATCTCCCTGTCCTCTAACACCTCCCCCCCAATGGTCAAACCTTCACCAGCCGTAACCTCCGCAACCTGAACCCAGCCCCTCTATACTCTGCAGCTGACTGTCTGTACGACAGTATCCTTCCACTGTCATGCCCTGACCTGGCCACTGCTGTGTATAACAACACGCTATCATCTGCCCTAGACTCCTTAACACCCCTATACACACGTAGCATTAGACCACAACCGCTTCAACCCTGGCAGAATGACCACACTAAACATCTTAAACGACGCAGTCGCGCACTGGAACGATTATGGCGCAAAACCAAATCCCCTCGAGCATTCTCCCTCTACAAATCCGCCTTCCTCACCTACACCTCCTCCCTCCATGCCGCCAAACAAGCCTACTTCGTAACCCTCATCAACACCCTCTCCTCCTGTCCTCACTGGCTCTCCACTTTCAACTCCCTACTCTCCCCCCCCCCACCACCCCCACCCAGTACCTCACCCACCGCCCACGAGATTGCCATTCACTTCCAAAATAAGATCTCGACACAATCCGTAAGAACATTGCCAATGCTCCACCTATCCTCCCTCCCACTATAACCCCTCCAACTCTCCCCTCCTCTGACCTCGCAACCGCCCTGCCCCCCACCACCCTTAACATCCCGCACACCATAACCTCCCCAACACTCTGCTCCTTCAGCCTTGCCACCACTGAGGAGGTCACCAAGGTCTTCTCAGAAGCCTGCCTCACCACTTGCCCCCTTGACCCCTGTCCCCACACAACTCCTCTGGGCACCCTCCCCCTCCATCCTATGCTTACTCACCCACATCGTCAATCTGTCCCTCTCTACTGGCGCATTCCCCTCCCCCCTAAAGCACGCGCACATCACCCCCATACTCAAAAAACCCTCCCTGGACCCCACTGACCTGAACAACCTTAGATCCATCTCAATGCTGCCATTCACTTCCATGCTCCTTGAGCATTTAGTCTACAATTGCCTAAGCGCCCACCTCACTGACAACAACCTCCTCGATCCACTACAATCTGGCTTCTGTCCCCTACACTCCACCGAAACCACCCTACTCAAAATCACTAATGACCTGCTAACCACCAAAGCTAATAGCCACTACTCCGTCCTCTTACTCCTTGACCTCTCCGCGGCCTTCGACACAGTTGACCACCCCCCCCTCCTTGATAAACTACATTCCCTCGGCATTAGAGACTCCGCTCTCTCCTGGCTCTCCTCCTACTACTATAATGTACAGCGCTGAACAAACCTTTTTGGCGCTATATAAATCCTGTATAATAATAATAATAACTGCTTTCCTGGTGGCAATTACATCAACCAGAAGAGTGTCCGTATTAGCGAGCCTGGGGTTTAAAGAACCCTGCCTTACGTTCATCCCAGATAGGGTGGTACTCATGCTGATGCTCAAGATCGTGCTTAAGTGGCCTTCATAGTCCATATCACACGGAAAGTTGTCCTTCTTACACCCCTCTTGGGGAGTACTCAAGCAGTTAGCCCATCTGATGTGGGTCAAGCTTTAAAATTTAACATCTGGCATCAGGAAGTCGCTGCACTTGTTTGTCATTCTAGGTGGAGCATGTAATGATTTTATGGCTTCTAGCAAGATTAATGCCTCCTGGTTGGTGAAGCTCATCTCCTTAGCATACAATTTGAAAGGGTTGACTGTGACAGGGGAGATCACTTCTGTCCACCCAAAGGTTCTTGACTTTGTGAGCGGCAGCAGGCTGAGTGTGCCCAGACACTATCAGCAAGGCAGCTACATGGGGGGTCAAAATATACGTTTATGGCTCATTACTGTATAGAAGCAGTCTTAATGACATTCAAGTTTTGCAGAGGCATCCTGGTTTCTGATGTTTAACCAGAATTGAGGAGTGTGTAGCATTATCTTTCCCCTGTGTGGCTAGTTAGTTCCCAGCTGTGCTGACATGGAGCTGTCAGGAAAACGGAAAAGTGAATGACAGATACTTACCGTAATTTTCCTTTCCTGATGGGCTTGTGGGAACTCGCTTCTAGTGGTAGAGCTTCTTCAAAGCACACAGCAACTCGCTTCTTTTTAAAGAGCCTTTTTGCCCAATTTTATTTACAAGAAAAGTTCCAGAAACACAAATGCTTCCCACGCAGGGGTATCCACCATCAAGCAATACCAACAAAAGATTCAGCCTCCTGGCTTGTACACAGTTCACTTTCTGTCTCCTGCAGACTCTTCCCAAGTTATGGCCACTAGCACACAGCTAGTCTGGCTTCCACCTGACTCCAAGGCAGAGACCTCCCGTCTGCCGGGGTGGAGCCCTCCTGACTCCTCTCTGCCGGGGTGGAGCCCTCCTGACTCCTCTCTGCCGGGGTGGAGCCCAGAATCATGGCCTGGCCTCCCCTAAAAGGCCTGCACACACCTGTGCAATCAGCACGCTGGCTGCTCCCAAAATATGGGCCCAGGATTGGAGATTTCATCCCTCCCAAATCTCTAAGAAATCTCCAGGCTACAGGTCCCAAAACAGGCTTTACAAACCAAAGAGGAAAAACTGATAAACCAGTTTCCTCTGCATTATGAGATCTGCCTGGAGCCCCTCAGCCTGTATAGTTGAGAATCCTGGGTGTCCATCATGATTTCCATCGTGGCAGGATACCGTACTGCCACATATCCCCCCCCTTTGTTTTGATCCCGTAGGGGGCAGAACACACAAGCCCAAACTCTTTAATTTGGCACCTCTGTGCCAGCTTTCACCCATATGAGCCCATTTCTGACTGACATTGCTTTCAAAGGGAAACTTTCCTTCCGGTCTTATGAGGCGACTTTCCCTGTGTTCTCCTAGCACACGGACTTGGGGCCCTATAAAGACACTGTGCCTTTTTACGGGTACGCTTCCAAAAGCGTTGCCTCTCTATTTTCCTTGGGGCCACCCAAGTCACCTTCCCATTAAGGAATTTCCAAAACTTGGTACCTTTCTGAGGATGAGGTTGACGCCTGAGTTTTAGGTGTCGGATAATATTAAAGCTACGCTGTACTTTCAACAGCCGGTTTCCCTTTACCTTTGAAGGGGTCACGCTTTTAAACCACACAAGAAGTGTGGGCTCTTTTATTGGGGTTCCCTTAGTCCCTCTCTGCATTCTATGTACATGCATCCTCTTACTGACTAAACATAGCTCTGCTTGTTTTCCCCCCATACACTGCATGCTTCCTTTTGTCACTGACATTCTCAGACGACAATGTCCTACTCTCCTTCTGAAGGACAGCCCAATTGCCTTGCCCTTCAGATGTTTTTATGTCAGGGGACCTCTTTAAATAATCCACTTCCTTAAAGTTTTCCTTCGGGGCAGATATGCCATTTAAAGTTTCTCTTCCCAGACTACCCTCCTGAACCTGTAGGGGGCCTAATTCTACTACAGCTTTTATCTCAGCTGTGTCTACCACATCCTTACCCACCACATCACATGTTTCAGGGTTATCCTCACGCATGTCCACATGACCTTCAGGTCCATCATTAGGTTTATGGTCACCCACAGAAACTAAATGATCGACATTTACCAGTGCCTCGCACTTTTCCACATCATCATATTTACAATTTACCAGTGCATCGCACTTTTCCTCATCATCATCATCAACAACATTTACAAGGGCCTTGCATTTTTCCTCATGGTCAGAAACATCCACACCTTTGTCAGAACTCATTTCAATGTTTGGCAGGGCAGTGTCTGGAGACCAAGTGCACACAGTGGAGTGGTGGTCTCCCATGGCAACGTCACTATCCACCAGCTCCACTGGCACATGAACCTCTTCCAGCAACTGTCCTGACACCTGACCATCATAACATAAGTCCACATTTGGTTTACTGACCCCAATCACTTGATTTGTGCCATCTGACACTTCCACCAACAGCAGCTCATTTGGTATCACACTATTCAATACTACACCATTCGATCCTTTGTGGTTTGTGGGCAGGATCTCTGCTATGTGCTCAATCTCACTTGGCCCGTCCATATTGGGAGGGAGACCAACTGCAGCAACAGCAAGTGCGCCCTTGTCTATAAGCTGCTCTGCAGGCCCTCCATTTAGCACAGCAGAAGTCGTGTCCACTCCACTGTTGGAAGCAGAGGTCCCTTTCAACAAAGCCAACAGGTTTTCAGCCCATCTGTCCCAGTCTACTTTCTCTGTGCTCCAATCAGAGGTACTACGCAGTACTCCAACTGCAGGAGGAGACACAGGACAGAGTGGCTCAGCAGACACATCACATATATCACTTTTGTTCAAATCAAACTGTGGCACTAAATTTTTAATCTCAACAGGTTGCAATATCACACCCTCACCACCATACTCTGATGGCGCTTCATTCACCTCAGGAACATTTCCATACATTGTATTGTCAGTACTGACAGACTCCATTAACCCATTATCACCATGAGCATTTTCAAAGATTTTAGTTTTAGCATTTAAATAATCATTTGGTTCAAGTACTCTCTTGTCCAGAGCAGCACCATAGTTGTCCCAGGCAACCTCTGGCTCCAACACACAGAGCTCCCAGGAAGTTTCCATGGACACCTTTGCAGCCTTGGATACTGTTGCAAAGGGCAACAACATATCTTCAATCATATTCATATCAACACTGTTATCTTTAGTGAGCTGTGCTAGCCCATCACCAACCATAACATTACATTTACCAACAGTAACACTTTTGTCGGCATGACCATCAGCATTCTCATTGCATATAGACATGACTGTGGTTTTTGCAGGTAGTCCCTGGCTATTACCCAGCTGAGCAGCCTGTGAGCCATGCTTCACAGCATTCTCGCTCTTTAAAGGGGCACTATTTTCAGTTTTATCAGCTCCATAGCTGACCTGGAAAATCCTCTGCTCCGTCACTGCGGGCTCCTGGGAGGTTTCCCTGGGCATCTCTGCAGCACCCGTCACTAGGGAACACGGTGCCATGACAGTTTTGGTCACCCCTAGTTTACCTTCCCCAGCCTTCTGCTGGATTATAGCAGGCACCTGCAGAGTCCCCATGTCCTTTTCCATATTTAGTCCTGCTAATCGTTGGGCTGTTCCCTGTGTCTCCCCCCACTACTCAGGATAGCACACAGCAGCCAGTCCATGTCCATCTGTATTGTGGAACTCCCTGAAGGACACACTCTCACTTCCTTGGAATCAGTCCCACAAACTGAAACAGTCTTACCATTTCCTGAAGCAGGTGTCATAGCCTTCACTTGAGTACGTAGTCTCTTCTCTGTGGTGTCTCCACAGACTGATTTCCCCATGTGGTCACGGGGCAACACTGCAGCCATTCCGGACCAACTTACACCCCCTGCAGGTAACACCATATCCCTGTTGCTAGGGGTAGCTGCCAACATTTCGAAACACGAATCTGGGCTTGCAGATGAAGACTTTTGCCCAGTAGCACCCTCATCAGTGGTATTCCATAATCTGGGGCAGGTAAAGATACCATGCCCAAACTGACCACATTCCAGGCAGGGTATGGTTCCACAGATAAACCTTCTTGGGATACGGAACCACATCTCCCTTGTAGCCCCTTCTCCTGGTTGTCAGGTTTTCTCCTGTTGCTATGGGAGATGGCACTCTCCCAGCTGAACTTTGTGGGTTCCTCCATATGCGCTGAACTCTCATCTCTGCGTTGCCACAATCCTCTGCAGACGACACTTCTCTCACAGGGTCCGCAGGCCTGAAGTCACATGTGTTGCTATGGGCAACCACATTTTTCTGAAACTTTTGGGCAGCCTGCTGCTCCTTCCTGGAACTCCAAGCAGGCTTCCCAATTGTATACCCAGACCTTTGTCTGATTCTGTCACCTTGTACTGGAAGCTGGGATAAAGGACACTTTGAGACAGTGTGTCCCCATTCACTGCACCGCAAACAGCGCTCTTGTGGCAGTATCTTGGTCGAACTTCCAACACTGCATCCTCTTTCAGGCTTAGTACTCTGCACACAGAAAACGGGTTTCCTTTCACCAGCATTGCCAGGGACAACAGCATGCACTTCCACTGTGGCAAACTCTGTGCAGCCATGTATGGGGCTTGTTCTGGTGGTAACAACCCCTCCAGCCATAGGGCTCTGTCTCTCATTTCAGAAAATCTTGCTTCTTTTTTGAGTTTTGACCGCCCCATCTTTGCAGTCACTCCACAACACTTTTGCACAGTCCAGCAACACAATGGAGCACTGTCTCTTTAAGGAAAGTTCCTTTTCTCTGCAGGATCTCCTCACCTGCACACACCGATAGTGCAGAGTCATGCACCAAACACAGTTCAACACATGAACTTACTTCCTTGCTGGGATCTCTAGTTCTGCCCACTGCATTCTCCACCATATGTGGGAACTCGCTTCTAGTGGTAGAGCTTCTTCAAAGCACACAGCAACTTGCTTCTTTTTAAAGGGCCTTTTTGCCCAATTTTATTTACAAGAAAAGTTCCAAAAACACAAATGCTTCCCACACAGGGGTATCCACCATCAAGCAATACCAACAAAAGATTCAGCCTCCTGGCTTGTACACAGTTCACTGTCTGTCTCCTGCAGACTCTTCCCAAATTATGGCCACTAGCACACAGCTAGTCTGGCTTCCACCTGACTCCAAGGCAGAGACCTCCGTCTGCCGGGGTGGAGCCCTCCTGACTCCTCTCTGCCGGGGTGGAGCCCAGAATCATGGCCTGGCCTCCCCTAAAAGGCCTGCACACACCTGTGCAATCAGCACGCTGGCTGCTCCCAAAATATGGGCCCAGGATTGGAGATTTCATCCCTCCCAAATCTCTAAGAAATCTCCAGGCTACAGGTCCCAAAACAGGCTTTACAAACCAAAGAGGAAACTGATAAACCAGTTTCCTCTGCATTATGAGATCTGCCTGGAGCCCCTCAACCTGTATAGTTGAGAATCCTGGGTGTCCATCATGATTTCCATCGTGGCAGGATACCGTACTGCCACAGGCTCCATGTCACCACAATTCCTACCCAGCTTGGTAGGACTAATTACAGAACACTGAGGCTGCAGGTGGGCTTAAATTTATGAGTTGGGTCCTGAAAGCATGAGGGTGTGGGGCCCTTACCCAGTTGTGCTGACATGGAGCCTGTCAGGAAAGGAAAATGATGGTAAGTATCTGTCATTCAATTTTCTGTTTTGGTTTAATAAATAAAGTAATAAGTAATAAACAGGCAATTGTCCAGCCCAGGCAGGGGCAATCAATGACAATCACAACTGGAATAGGCACACATAAAGGCAAAGGTGGCAATACAGAGGTACCATAAAGTAGTCAGAAACGAACATAGCAGCAGCAATACAACACACCTCATAGGGTTCCGGGGGTGGAGGGGAAAAGACCACCCCACGGTGGCAGGGGGCTACTTAGGACCGCCAACACCCATAGAGGGCCACCGTTGACAGCTCATGTAAATACGGGAGGATACAGGTGAGGAGCCCAAGCATAGAAGAGACAAAATTAAAGGATAGGGTAGCAGGTAAGAAGGAGCACATACTTATAGATGAGGCAGAAGGAGAGGACAGACAAAGGAAAAATATAGGCCCTAGAGCCAGAAAGCAGAAGAAGGGAGGAAGACTACTACGTCTCGGGAAAATGTACTTCATATTTTTAATGACTATACTTTTATTCAGGTCATTAACTCTAACATTTTCAACTTTCAGTAGAAAGTAGGAACAAAAGTAAAGAATCCAGAAGATGCTTTGAATGGATAATTTATTTTGTGTCTGATCGCAAATTAATCATTTCTATAAAGAAACAAAGCTGATAAGGTAGAGACTGGTATAACCAATGAAACAATCTGGAATGACTTGGTGAAAAGGACCTATATACAAATGGCAGAATATTTTGCTGTTGTTTAGCTTTTGCCTAATATTTTTCCCTCTGTTTAAATAATGAAATATGGATCTTATTAATAATAATAATTAATATTATTAAATATGGATCCTATTAATAATAATAATTAAATATGGATTTTATAAAAATAATCTATGCTGCTATCTATCGCCCTAGCCAGAGCTGCTGTGTTGATGAAACGGTGTTCACTAATCACATATGTTTTTGTAAAGTGCAATGCTCTCCTTAAATATATAATAAATTTTAAAAAACCGTGGACAAGTGTGCGTACAGCCTGTTCACGCTATACAGGCATCAATGAGAATGAGGCCAGACTATACTGTTTGTAAATATTAACTGAAACATTGATCAGTTGAACAGTGTTTATACAATTATTTTAAAGTTAAACTCTAATCATCTTAAGCTCATTTAAGATGTTCATTCTGATCAGGTCCACCTGTCAGTTTTTCAGGTGGAGCTAATCGGAAGGTCCAAGCATTTCTAGGGAGAGGTGGGTGTAAACAGACTTGTGTCCGTTTACACCTGCCTACCTCCAGGTCTGATCAGGTTTCCATCCTCTTCCATTTAGGCAGATTGGATTGGAGGTAGCCAGGTTTAAGTAGACAATGGATTCCGTTTTATCCTGGCCACCCATAGAGCAGAGCAGGAGCTGTCTGTGTCCACTCAGTAGAAACTAAGCGGACAAAGATGTGTCATCCGCCCGCTCTGCTCTGATCAGCAGGGGATCAGCTCACAGATCCCCCGCTGATTGAAACAGAATCTGCCCTGTGTTAAAGGGGCCTTAAGCCCCATACACATGATGAGAATATCGGACGAATGATCGTCTGTTTTTATTTTGCATGCTAGGTTACTCAACTTACAAAAATTCATGTATGACAGCATAGAATTTCGGAAGTGATGTACTGTATTGTATTCGTATTGTATTTTCGGATGAAAACTGTATGGAAATCGTACGATCTGGTGTTGTACAAGAGAAATTTCCGTGTTTGTCCCTTTGGATAATTTTGGATGAACTGTAGTGATTGGCTTTCGAAAGCGTTATTTTTCTTATGATTTTCTGCTTGTGTGTACAAGGCTTTACAGCGGTGTTTAATTACTTAGTATTGTTATAAAAAAAATACCATAAAATATCTAATTGCCACCAAATTAAAGCCCTATCATTTCCCAAAAAATTGCTGAACATGCTGGCACTAACTACAAGGGCAAGGTCATTTGGTACAAAGACCACGTAAAAAATATTATATTCTAGTAATTGTATGTGGTTAAAGCAGACCTTCACTCCAAAACTAAAGTTGATGTCATACTCTTCCTCCTTCTACCCTCCAATGAAACTAAATCTTTTTTTTTTCTTTTTTGACAGTACCTGTTCCCACTTCCTTAACCCCTTGACGCTGAGCGCACGCAAATATGCGGCCTCTCGGCGTCTGGGCCTTGACTCCGAGCGGCCGCATATTTGTGTGCAATTAAAAAATACATATGTGCAGAGAGCGCGCTCCCTGCCCGCTCCCAGCACATATGTCTGCTACTCCCGGAAAGGTCCCGATCTCCCCTTTCGATCCAGACCTTTTCCGATCATGTGACGGCGAATCACGGCGGTCACATGACCCTAAAACCCCACCCCGCCTCCCAGCTTCTGAAAAGCACCGGCGCCAAGAGGTTAATCCTCACCTAGGATCCCTGCCATGCTTAGGCTTTGTTCACATGGGTGTATTTAAACATACACCCATGTGAGGGCCGTGTTTTGCCTCCATGGGATGCACAGGTGTTCCATGCATCCATGTGCAGGCAGTCCTGTTCCTGTCAACTGGGATGCAGTGTCTGCACAGACACAGCCACAACTCCCAATCTGACATCTGTGTGGGTGGGTGTGTGTCCCCAAACACACACTGTTGGGGTTCTGGGACATGCACCCACACATGTCTAACCAATACTACCTTGTCCTCAGAGTAATGAATTCACTGAAGAGCAAACAGCATTGACACCCTGTTATAGAAAGTGAAAAAAAAATAAAGGATCTACAGTACTGTCAGGCTCAACCAGTAATACAATTATGTCAAGGGGAGAAAACAATGACCAGTGACTGACTGCATCAATATTTTTTTTTTTCTGTTATGCACATAGTTCTTCTATTCCATTGTTTCCGTGACCAATATGTGTAGAATACTGTACCAGCATAATTCTAAGAATTGGTTACCTTTCTGCACACTTTATAAATAAGCAGTAGAGGGCGCCCATCAATCTGTCTCTCTGCCTCCTACTTGGGATATGTTCTGCCTGGACATCTGGAAATACTGCACATTGCTGGAAACTTCAGCACATGGACAGCACTGTGGTAATGAAGAAGTATTATGCTGCTTAAACACACTATCACTATCCAGTCCGCTACGCATGACTGCACTCTATAATGAAACCAAGGCGGATTTACTAGATGTAACCGGCTAATGCATTTATGATGAATTTGTCTGAGATCACAGAACAGAGTTGGAGCTCCATTAGAGATTATTTCCTGCAGCAGATACAGTGTGCCACCATTGGGTTTTCGGTAAAATATGTAGAATTAGGCACCCTATTCATCAACGAGTTTTCCGCAGCTTCTGAAAGTTTTTGCTCTACTTTGCAAAAGGCCATTATCTTTCGTGTTATTCCTTTATGTAGAAAGAGCTGTGTTTCAGCCAAGCTGATAGCTTGGCCTTCAGTATCTATTAATGCAGGGGTAGGCAACCTTAAACAGGTGGAGATCTACCTGAACAACATGGGAGAAGTCAAAGATCACCGGGCACAGTGTTGGCCAATGTCACCTCCTCACACCAGAGTTAAACCACTAATTGCTGTGCCACAATCATGTGCATTGCACGTCAATGATGGGTTTAAATCAATGAGGAGGGAACATATTGCCTCCTCATCACCTGTCAAACACCCAACCCAAATACTCCTGCGCTTGGGGATGGTCTCAGCTTGGACTATGGCTACATCTTGGATGTCCTGGAATGTACATTCCTTGCTGCCCTCAATGGACCGGGGGTAGTTCAAATGCACTGGATATAAAGAAAAGAGAGGGCACACCGGCCTAGTGCATTATAGTAAAAAACATTTATTGGAATAATAAAAATAGATATCGTACTCACAAATGACATAAATGTGTCTGCTAAATTTGTGAATTTAAAATATATTTTTTCTTCCATGTGGGTAGGCAGGAGTGTTTAGGGCAGAAATCTGAAGGTACCAAAATTGCAAACAGGAGAGGAGCATTTGGCCAGGAAAAACATCTGATGCACCTAAACACATGTAAAAGTTTTAGGCTTGTTTAGTGCTTGAGCATTCATTCATTTCAATGGCCAGAATAAATTAATATTCTGGCCAAAAAAATCATTGGATGCCCACATGCTTGATGTTCCTGAGTGTGTCTAAATGCATTTCAAAATCATGGCATTAGATGTGTTTTGCTGCTTTTCTCCTGCCTGGAGAGAGGCATATAGAAGAACCCAGTGTGCATAAGGCCTTCATCCCCTGCTTCTTCAAAATGAAGAGACATTAGGTGGAGGAGAGTAGGAGGTTGCTTGATAGAGTGTACAGTTTGTTGTCTGTATTCAGTGTATTGAGCGTACCTCAGCTCGCGTGGACACCATGGCTGATATGGTTTCCTGCTAGGTACTTTTGTGAGTATATTACTTTATGATCTGATTGCTCATCCGAGATCCTTCTTGGTAGAAGATCTAACCAGATCTGGATTATTTTTTTTCTTTGCTGTGAAAGCATCTTTGAAATGGTGTCATGTATGATTGATGGTTTATTGTTCGGTATATGACAAGCTTTCGAATTAGTCTTTAATAAATCCCATAGTATTCATTAGATTCACACACTGCAAAACCTGATGGGAGCAGATGGAGTTCTGCAGTATAAACCAGGCAACAGCGTGAGAGAGAAGCTGTTTAATGGCGATTCCTCCCAGCAGTGTACATTGTTCTGCTTGCTGATTATTCATTACAAGCTCCCGAGGTGTTTT